TTCATATCCTGGATACTAGAACTAGCCATTTCTCTAAGGAGCCCTGGTTCTTTTAAATGGGGAAACCAAAATGTGGGTGATAGTAATAATCATTGCTGCTCTGGTGTCATCGCTTCCAGATCATTTCAGTGGACAGAACTAGGACATCTATTCATTACTGTAAATCCTGGGTTCAAATGTTGTTGTGGTTAAGTGCCATGGAGTCAGTTCCAACTCATAGCAACCTGTATAGGGCTTCTGAGGAGCAGCTTGAAGTGGTAGGTTTCCGCTACCAGTCTTGTGATTAGCAGTCTAGTGCTTACCAGTTCAAATCCAATATAACAGTATTCTCTTCCATCTTCTTCTGTGTCATTCTGTTTGCAGAGTGGCACCTAGCAGCACCATTAGCATAGATATTTGTGCACTGGTGAACCTGTGACAGTATAGTTCCTGTTCCTGTTAAGTCTAAGATAATTACATATGGGAGATCATCCCCTCATGTTTGGAAATATCTGATTCTATTATCAATATAGATCTAGGTAATAATTTCATTTACTCATTGATTTTTCCAGTTAAAGTTTCTTATGTGCTTTGTTTTGTAAAACTATTGAGGAAAGAGACAAATAACCCTGTTTACCCTAAGGGAACTTTCATTCTAAAGGAATTCAGTGATATGCCTAAATAAAAAATTTATAAATTAAATATGTATAAAATTACTTGATCTTCTTTTGACATATATGTTATTAAGGCACCCAACTAAATAGTAATTTGCCTGCCGAGTTTGCACATAGCTCTAAATACTGAAATGTTCCAATTCTAGGTTTGGGTTGGCACCATTGGATCAGGCCCCACAGGTCGGAATCTCTGTGCTACCTTCCAGCACACTGAAACATTTGAGTTCCAGGATGAAGTGGGGGCACTTGTGTTATCTGTGTGCCAGACTGTGAGCCAAGGAATTTTGTGTTTCCTGCCATCTTACAAGGTAAGGGAATGTTTGTTGTTACTTTGCCTTTAAAAAACAACTTCAGAAGCAACAGGGAAACAATTACAGTCTCCCTTTTCCTTTGTGTCTATATAGGCAATAATTTCAAACTAGTTTGTTTTTTTGGAGGTGGGGAGGGCCTAAAGGTAGAACATAATCTTTAAATATATGTGTGTGTGTGTGTGTGAGACAGAGATATTTCATTCGGTTCCCAATCCCTTGCATAGACATGTAAATACTTATTGTAACATGGAGGTGCAGATGTTTAAAAATCTCCACTTTTCCCTTCCCTCCTGCCTGGGTGGGCAAAAGTTTTAGAGTAGTATAGGGCACTTTTTAAAAACTCTACTACCACCCCAAAG